GAAACAGTCCCTGTTCAAACAGGATTCCAGTTCCACAGTGGGTTGGGCTCCAGGAGAGCCCTGCTGCCCAGGGCAGCAGAGTGGACTGGGATCAGATGAGCCCCCTGCACACTCCAAAAGGGTGATTTTCCCCTTTGTTCCTCCTTATCTGTGAGCAAATCCCTCTTGGGAAGGTGCCAGGGAGAGCCTGGGTTGGTGCTGGCACAGGCCTTCAGCTGGGAGGTGCTGCTGCGATGGAGATGCTGCTGCTGCAGCTCCCTTCAAGCCCCCAAATTCCCCCACACTTGCAAAACTTCTGTCTTTAAAACAGGAGGAGCTCCAGGAGCCAGATCTCAGCTGTAAAGCCGACATGAGGAAGTGGTAAATCAAAGGGAGAATGGCACAGCACAGGCACAACCCCCAGCAGATCCAGGACACATCCTGGAATGTCTCCAGCAGCAGCAGCAGAGCTGTCTGGGCTGGACAAACCTGCCTGTCCACAGCCCTGCAGCTGGAGCCATGGATGTTCCAGGACACAGAAAAGAGAGGTCACAGAGATTCAGATCCCACAGGGGCAGGAACAGCAGCACCAACAAGGAACAAAGGTGTTGGCTCCTCCTGGGAGCTGCAGCAGGCTCTGAGGAGGAGCAGAGATGGGCCTGGCCCAAACCCTGCCCGTGCTGCTCCTGCAGGGCCAAACTTTCCGGGGACAGCCCCGAGGGCTCCCGGGAAGGCCCTGTGGAAGCAGAGGGAGCAGCAGTCCCGGAGGTGTTGTTGTTCCCCCCTTCCCTGTCACGTTTCCAGGAGCAGCAGAGCGTGCCCAGGCTCTGCTCTGCCCTCCTCCCCCTGCTCCAAAGGACAGCGTCCATCTGCTTTGGATCAGCGCTGGAAGCAGCTCCAGGCTCCCGGCTCTGATGAAACCTGCCTTGGAAAGCCTCTCCCTTGGGCAGGGTGGGGTTATCCAGCACAAGCAGCTTTCTGGAACAGCTCCAGTCCTGGCTGCTCTCCCCTGGCCCCCTCCAAACCAGTCCCAACCACACCATGAGCAGAACACTGCTCTCCCTGCTCCCAAAGGGGTGGATTTCTCCTGCACTACACCCTCTCCAGCATGTCCAGGCCTCCTCAGTTTCACCTGGCACAACATCCCACGCTTCTTCAGCTCCTCTGTCCTGCTGCCTCCATGGATTTCTCCATGAAGGACAACTGTCCTTCCCACTGCCTTGTGCCCAGGGACAGGATTACACAGCTGCTTCCAGGTTTGGGAGTTCTCAGGCTGCAGCAGCCACCTGACCCTCCTGGTTCTTTCTTCCCAACATGTGCCAATAAAATCCATTTATTGGGGACCTAATTCTGCACCAGGGAAGCATTAGCTGGGGGTAGCTGCAAGGCCAGAGTGCTGAACTCCAAGGTCTCATCCCACATGGATCCATGCTGCTCCAGGCCATGGTGTTAATCCAAAAACTTGGGAAAAACTCTCCTAAACCTGAAACCAGCACCTGAAAAAACAGGAAGGCTCCTTCCTGCTGAACTTCCATGGAACCTGCCTGCTGGGGCTCAGCCTGGGCATCCTGACTGCTCCAAGGGCAGGGAGAGGGATCAGGGTGGGATCTGCCCATACCCCCCACCACACCTGATCTTCCTGCACTTGGAAAAAGGCCTCTCCTTCCTGCTCCAGACATGGCACCGGCCCCTGGCTGCTCTGGAAACATCAGCTCCCACCAAAGGAGTCCCTTGGATTCCCCGCCTGGGCTGCCAGGAAATCCCCAGCAGGCACACAAGGATGCCCAAAGGACGAGCATATGTTTAATAATCCCGAGATTAGAGCCCCTAAGCCCTCGCTGGCCTGGCCAGGGCCTCTTCTGTCTCCTGGTGCCCATACAACAAAGCTCTTCCTAAAAACGGGGACAGAAGCAAGCCCTGGGGGCCTGGCAGGGATGGGAGGGGCTGTTTTCCTCAGCCTGGGAATTGCAAAACAAAGGGCAGACCCTCTGGATCCTCTCCTTTCCCAGGCTCAGGGAGAGGCCACTCAAACACCAGCTCGGGCCTGGATCCTGCTGTGCCAGGGGTGCCGGGGACATCGCCCGGGGGACATCGCCGTGGGGACATCGCCCTGCTCCCGACACCTGCTGCTGCCCCAGCCGTGGGGGAAGCAGCATCTGCCAGCCTGTTTACCCGGCTGGCTCCAGCTTCCCAGCTGGATTTTGCACCCTGCACATGGAAGGTCAGGCAATGCCCCCGCCTCGAGTTACCAGCGGCTCACACTCGGCCAGCTCAGCTTCCAACACCATTTTCTGGCGTTTTGAAGGCTGCAGGAGGAAGTTGTTTCCTAGTCCTGTGTGAAGGAGCCAGAATTTCCCTGAGCTTGCTTTATTTCCTGAGTTTTAAATCATGCAGATCAGGCAGCCCAGGAGGAGGAGGCAGCGGCAGCCCAGGAGAATGTGTTGCACAACTGGGCTCCTCCATTTCCAGCCAGCCTGGAAAACTGAGCTTTATACCTGAAAACTCATTCCCAAAATAATCACCATGAGCTTGGAACTGAGAAGCCAGGTGTGCAAGAGGGAGCAGGAACGTGTCTCAGGATAATTATTCTTACTGCTGGAACAGCATAAAAACATGGAATGGTTTGGGTTGGAAGGGACCTTAAAGCCCATCCAGTGCCACCCCTGCCATGGCAGGGACACCTCCCACTGTCCCAGGCTGCTCCCAGCCCTGTCCAGCCTGGCCTTGGACACTGCCAGGCATCCAGGGGCAGCCACTGCTGTGCCAGGGCCTGCCCACCCTCCCAGGGAACAATTCCTGCCCAATATCCCATCTATCTCTGCCCTGGGCAGTGAGGAGCCATTCGCCGTGCCCTGTCCCTCCAGGCACTTGCGAACACAGTTCTTACTTCCTTAATTTACTTGTAAAAGATGCCAGGCTGAAAAATAAGTGATTCCATGTGCTTTTTGAAGGCTGCTCGTTGTTTTGATTTCCCCAACACTACCGAGTGCCTGCTCTGCTCTTCCCCCACCAACCAACCCCTCGTCCTTCCGGAGGACACACGAGAATACTCCGAGCTTACACCGAGGCTACACCTGCACACCACGCGTTACCTCCGCCTCTGCCAAGGACACCAATGCGTTCCCGGCGGGTCCGTGCCAGGGGAAGGGAAGGAAAGGAAGGGAGGGGAAAGGACGAGCAGGGACAGGAAGGGACGGGATAGCTGCGGATTCGGATGGGGCTCACGGCCCCACGGCAGCGACTCCGGCCCGGCTCCGCTGCGGGAGGGAAGGGGCCCGGCCGAACTTTTACCGGGTTTTGAGGGTGAAAAGTGGAAGCAGGGGAAGAGGGAGATGTCCCGACTAAAAAGGGCAGCAGAACGGCCCCACCGGGGGTCCCGGGCCGCTGCGGGCGATGCCGGCCGGGCCCGGCCGCGCTGCCCCGCGAAGGCCCCGCCAGCCCGCCAAGTCCCCCGGCGCTAGCCCGGGCCTCTGGGTACCCCCCGCGCCCCTCCCGCAGCCCCGGGGCGCCTCACCTGGTACTGCGCGGCGGCCGGGCCCATGGCGCGGTAGCCCGGGGCGGCGGCGGGCGAGGGGCTGGGACCGCGCAGCAGGGCGGTGCCGGGCCCCGGGGCCGGCGGGGCAGCCGCGGGGGGCAGCGGGCTGAGCGGGAAAGCGCCGCGCCCGGCCATGACGGGGCCGTAGCGGACGGGACGGGCCGAGGAGGCACCGGCGGCGGCTTCGAGCGGCGGCGCCGGAACGGGAACGGATCCGCGCCCGCCGCCCCCGGACAGCGCCCCGCCCCCATGCACAGCCCCGCTCCGGGATAGCCCCGCCCCCNTCGGCCCTCCCCGGCACAGCCCCGCCCCGCTCCAGCCACTCCGCAGGCCCCGTCCCTCGGAGCCACGCCCACGGCGCTGCGCGCGCACCTGGTAACCCCGCCCCTAGCGTCACAGTGTGCGTGACGTCAACGCGTGTGATATACATGGACATGTTGCGATGTACACGTGTGTGCCCACGTGTGTGTGCAAATAAACGTGTGTGTGTGAACACCTGTGTGTGCGGACACGTGCGTTGCTGTTTGAGCACGTGTGTGTGCACATGTGTGTTCATGGATCTGTGTGTGTGTGTGCAGGTGTGCACACGTGTACAGGTAGGTGTGTGCGTGTGCATCTATACAGATGCATGTGACACAGGTGTGTGAATGACACGAGTATGTGAGTGACACGGGACTGTGTGGTCCGTGTGAGTGACACAGATGCGTGTATATGACACAGATGTGTGCGTGGCACGGGTGGGTGTGTGTGGTCCGTGTGAGTGACACGAGGTGTGTGTGACACGGGTGTGTGAGTGACACGCATGTGTGTGGTCCGTGT